CGGCTCCCCGCTTATGCAAATGAAGCCCGGGAAATTCAAATCCCGGGCTTCATTTGCAAGTGCGGTATGCCTACATTACCCCGCTAGTTCGAACTAACAGGGTAGTGTAGACATACCCTCTCACACTTTAGCATCACCAGGCTTTGAACAAGGACTTGACATTTGTTAGCCTGTGGCCTTTTTGTCAGGCATATACCTTTTGCGGTTTCTGAAAATCTGCCCTAATGTAAAGTTATAGGCCTTTGAAACATTCTAGACAGCACATGCTTAATGGAGACTTCTTAGAGTTTCTCAGCTAATTCCCCAAAATATTCTATCCACACTAAGCATATGCCAAGCCCAGGGCAAAACAGGATTTCCCCTGCAATTCTACACATCCATTAATACATATTTTTGCAATACACCCTCTGGAATTCAAATCGGATAACTTAAATTAATTCTACCTGCGGAAGAGCTACAACACAGATTTGTCACTCTACTAATCCATTATTTCAAAGACTTTGAAAAACTCACTGTCTAACTTTCCCACTTATGTGATTCAAAAATGCCCATGTAATGAAATAGATGGCATCTCATACATGGTGTCAGCTGCACACACATTTAATATGTTTAATACAGTGAAATAGAATGATACAACAATGACTTATTTATCCTAAAGTTGAAAGGAAAAGAAATTTTCTGAGAAAGATATTCTGCTATCAGTCAGGATAACGGGCAATAAGATCATAGCAAGTGGCTTTTGAGACATATGGTTCTGAAAAATTAATAGTTTGGAAGTGTGTAGATAAGTTTTGTCAGCTTAGCCACCTTAAATTCTGTTATTCTCTCTTATATGTGAGCCATCAGCTGGGAAAACTTAGAAAACATACTGCAAGTGACAAAAAATTACCTTTTCCTGAATTGTTATGGTGAATGACACAAAAGCCTATCGTACAAACTAAATGACAGAAGGAGTCAAGTAGAATCCAAATCAATTAAATATGTACACCTCATTAGTAGGCACCAGAAGCCACCATAGAGATACATATAATGATAATATCTTCAAAATCTTTGGGTGCCAGGGCAAACACAGGCATGTGAGAGTAAATATTAGTCTATTTAAAGGGACAATAGAAGAACATAAGAATGTCCATACTGGGTCAGACCAAAGGTCCCTTCATCCCAACATCCTTTCTTGCAACAGTGGCCAATGCCAGGTGTCCCGGGGGGAAGGAACAGAACAGACAATTATTGAGTGATACATTCCTTGCCCATTGCCACCTTCCGGCACCTCAGGAAATGTGCTGCTTACCTGGAACTATTCAGACAACCCAGGAAGTTTTTAGAGAGTGTTGAGGACAACCTCCTGGTGCAAGTGGTAAAGAAGCCAACTAGAGGTCATGCTCCTTTTCATTTCAAGAAAGATGTGGAGAAATTGGAAAGGGTACAGAGAAGAGCGACAAGAATGATTAAAGGTCTAGAGAACATGACCTATGAAGCCAGGCTTCATGAACTGGGCTTGTTTAGTTTGGAAAAAAGAAGATTAAGGGGGGACATGATAGCGGTTTTCAAATATCTAAAAGGGTGTCACAAGGAGGAAGGCGAAAATTTGTTCCTCTTGGTTTCTGAGGACAGGACAAGGAGTAATGGGCTTAAAGTGCAGCAGGGGAGGTTTAGATTGGACATTAGGAAAAAATTCCTAACTGTCAGGGTGGTCAAATATTGGAATAAATTGCCAAGGGAGGTGGTGGAATCTCCCTCTCTGGAGATATTTAAGAACAGGTTAGATAGACATCTGTCAGGGATGGTGTAGACGGAGCTTGATCCTGCCTTGAGGGCGGGGGGCTGGACTCGATGACCTCTCGAGGTCCCTTCCAGTCCTATTATTCTATGATTCTATGATTCTATGATTTGCTGTTCGCAAACAGGGAGGAATTGTTAGAGCATGTAGAAACAGGGCTGGCCTTACCATGAGGCAAACTGAGGTGGCCGCCTCAGGTGCCAGACTGGGGAGGGGGGCACCACTAGGACCCAGAGAATTGAGACCTTTCAAAGTTTTGGCCCAAGCGAGTGGGCATGGGAGCGTCATTTGAGCTCCCTGCATCAGGTGCCAAAATGTTGTGGGCCAGCCCTGTGTAGAAATAGGTGGCAACCTTGGCAGCAATGACCATGAGATGGTTGAATTCATGATCCTGACAAAAGGGGGGAAAAGAGAGCAGCAGGGTATGGACCTTGGACTTCAGAAAAGCAGACTTTGACTCCTTCAGAGAACTGATGGCAGTATCCCCTGCGAGGCTAATATGAGGGGGAAAGAAGTTCAGGATAGCTAGCTCTATTTTAAACAATCCTTACTGAGGCCACAGGAAGAAATCATCCTAAAAGAGACCTCAGGAGGTCATCGAGTCCAACCCCCAGCTCAAAGCAGGACCCACCCTAACTAAATCATTCTAGCCAGGGTTTTGTCAAGCTGGAACTTAAAAACCTCTAAGAGTGGAGATTCCACTACCTTCCTAGTCAACCCAGTCCAGGGCTTCAAATGCCTAGTGAAATAGCTTTCCCTAATATCCAATCTTGATCTCTACCTCTTGAGATCATTGCATCTGTCATCTGTCACCACTGAGAACAGCTTGGCTCCACACGCTTTGGAAACCCCCCTTCAGGTAGTTGAAGGCTGCTATGAAATCCTCCCTCACTCTTCTCTTCTACAGACTAAATAATCCCAGTTCCTTCAGCCTTTCCTTATAAGTCATGTGTCCCAGGCCCTAATAATTTTGTTGCCCTCTGCTGAACTATATCCAATAATGCAAGGCCAGAAACAGGACACAATAGAAAGGCAGTAGCCGGGCTGGCAGGCTTTACTCTCTACAGGGATGACTCTTTCGATATTACTTCCCAAAAAGCCCTGGATTGCGACTGGATGGAAAGGAAGAGACAGGATCCCCCATCCCATGCCCTACTTAAAAGAAAAGTCCCAGATGAGAGTACAAGCTCCAAACACTTGCAACTTAGAATCACTATCACTTCTGACAGAAACACAAGTGTGTTGAGGTCAGATGTGCTAACTGCTAGGCAACCTCACCGGCAGAGCACTATCATATGCTCCAATTTCATAGAGGAGGAATTAAGGTCTTCAAAGTTTAAGTGACTTTATGGAGAATCATGTGTTAAATGGAAGCTTACTGACACCTTGTCTTGTACCTTAATCACAAGCCCATTCTTCCTTTGAATTGCCTCCTCCTACCTCTGAAATGATGCTATACGGTAAGAAATAACAGAAACGGGGCAAGCACAAAATGAATCTAATTTCCATATATTTATGCTGCGATAAAGTCATTGCTCTATAAAGATATTATGCTTGTACTACGAAGCAAAGAAAGCAGACATACACAGTTGGGTAAGGACCCAACATATTGCATTCTTTCACCAAAAATAACATTGAATTCCTATTATTTTATTGACAAAAAAATTATACATTTTACTTATCATCTGCAATTATATCCATAGCTTATACCAGATACTGTAATTACAGGATATTGTATGCATTGCCTATGAAAGGGCTCCAATTATTTCAATGCACAATGCATTTAAATGCACTAATATAGTACCTATAATATATGGAAATTGGAATAGACAAGAATAGAATAGAATCTTACATTTTTTTATATAGTAATTTTCATCCCAGAGGATCCCTAGGAATCTGACAAATTCTAATTTACATCCTACCCTACCTCAATAGGCCTTTACAATTGGTCAGGTGTGGAGGATGTTGGCCACCTAATAGAAGATGGCTTAGTGCAATCAGGAGACACACCTGGAAGCCTTCTTCAGTTTACTAAAAAAAAAAAAAAAAGGATTTTCTATATAATGGTGCATCTTATAAGGGATGATAGGAAGAAAAAAATAGGTTGCACCTTAGCTCCTATGAGAGCAAGTTGGGGACCTATTTGCTATGCACACAATAAGGCTGAGGTTCCAATCATGGAGACTGGGGGTCATGCTGCCCATGCTTCATTGTCACTGAAGTTGTAGATGGTCTCCACATCAAGGGTGAAATCCTGACTCCATTAAAATCAGTGGGAGTTTTGCCATTGACATCAATGGGACTAAGATGTCACCTCCAGGGCATGTCTACACTAGGGAGTTATTTCAAAATAACTCTTCTCACTTTGAAATAACAAGTGGAGCATCCACACTAGCAAGCCTGTTATTTCAAAATAATAACTCCTGCTTGTGAAAAGGAATAAGCTTATGTCAAAATAGTTATTTTACGAGTTATTATTTCAAAGTAACTTATATTAAAATAACCTGGTAGTGTAGACAAAGCCAGTGTTCTATTCCTATTGCAATACCACATGAATCAGGATTTTGCCCTAATATATCCAGGAACCATTTCTTCATTTCTTCAGAGAAGGGCAACTAAAATGATTAGGGGTTTGGAATGGGTCCCATATGAAGAGAGGCTAAAGAGACTGGGACTTTTCAGCTTAGAAAAGAGGAGACTGAGGGGGATTATGATAGAGGTCTATAAAATCATGAGTGGTGGTGGAGAAAGTGAATAAGGAAAAGTTATTTACTTGTTCCTATAATATAAGGACTAGGGGCCACCAAATGAAACTAATGGGCAGCAGGTTTAAAACAAATAAAAGAAAGTTCTTCTTCACACAGCACATAGTCAATCTGTGGAACTCCTTGCCTGAGGAGGTTGTGAAGGCTTGGACTATAACAGGGTTTAAAAGAGAACTAGATAAATTCATGGAGGTTAAGTCCATAAATGGCTATTAGCCAATATCAGTAAGGAATGGTGTCTCTAGCCTCTGTTTGTCAGAGGGTGGAGATGGATGGCAGGAGAGAGATCGCTTGATCATTACCTCTTCAATTCACTCCCTCTGGGACACCTGGCATTGGCCACTGTTGGCAGATGGGGTACTGGGCTGGATGGACCTTTGGTCTGACCCAGTATGGCCATTCTTATGTTCTTATGTTCTAATGAAACAGCAGAATTGTCTGACTAGGAATTAATGTTCAAAGGATATGCCGAGTTTCAAACTGCATAGTTTCTCCAAAGCCATTCACTTACCCCTGAGAAGCACTTGTTTTTTATTCCTCTGCGTATTAGCATGAATTAGATTATCTTCTTGAACAGACTACCCAACAGTAAGAATAGAGGTACTCAAATCAACATGAAAACTATGTAGATCACATTGGGAACAGCCCATGTTGAATTTGAAATAGTCATTTTCTTTCCTGATCTTGGCACCCATTTGACCATTCTTGCCTTACACCTATAGAAACTTGCATGCAAACCAGAGCAAGAGGGAATTTTGCACATACCTGTTTCTCCCCACTAGGCTTTTTGTGATTTAATAAAAGTTCCACAGCTCCAACGACCTCCTTTCGTATTGCATGCAGCAGAGCATCTCCAACATATACATTAAAGCTTAAGAGCAACTCAATGAGCTCTAGGTTCTCATTTTCAATTGCAATGAGCAGAGCTGTTCTTCCAAGAGGATCAATGCAATTAATATTGATCTTGAAATAAATTTCGGCTTCCTCCAGAGCTTTCTTCACACTGGCATAATCTCCTTTCTCCACAGCAATCAAGTAGGCTTTCTCAGCAGGGGAGAGCTCAGACTCTGCTCGAACTATCCGAAGAGGGATGCGATCTCTGTAAGGGGCATTGACACTTCTTTTGTAATAGAACTGGGCCATATTTTATGCCATTCTAATGCTTTGTCTCTGCAATTAAAAAAAGAGAGTGTGCATCAGCTAAGCATTTCTGGCATACAATTCAGCTTATTATTACTATTATTTAGATATGTGTTACAGTAGCATTTAGAGGTGCTGTACAGACAAAGAGTAAGAGACTGTGTCTGCCCAGAAAAGCTTGTGTTATAACACAACACAAAGGGCAGAATAGGGAATAGAGAAACAAAGTGGTAGTGATCAAGCCAAGCAGTCGGGTGTTCTCCTATTGAGTCTGGTACTATATCAACTATATTTTGCTCTTTCCCAGCATAGTCTATCAAGCCTAAGATGGACCTAATTTTCACAGTTCAGATCCAGATGTGAACTTGCTAAAATCTGTGGTATCTGTATGTGATTCAGCTTTGTCACTATTAAAGGAACATATTCTGCCGTGGTGTCCAACCATTTCTGAAGCCACTATAGTGAATGTAGAGCATAAGAACAGTCATACTGGGTCAGACCAAAGGTATCTAGCCCAGTATCCTGTCTTCCAACAGTGGCCAATGCCAGATGCCCCAGAGGGAGTGAACAGAACAGGTAATCATCATGTGATCTCACTCCTGTCATCCTCTGACAAACAGAGGCGAGGGACACCATTCCTACCCATCCTGGCTAATAGCCACTGATGGACCTAACCTCCATTGAGTTATCTAGTTCTTTTTTGAGTCCTGTTAGAATCGTTGGCTGTGTCTACATTGGCAGGATTTTGCGCAAAAGCAACTACTTTTGCACAAAATCTTGCCACCTGTCTATACTGGCCGCGAGTATTTGCACAAGAACACTGACTTTCCAATGTACAAAATCAGTGCTTCTTGAGCAAATACTTTGACGCTCCTGCTCAGGGATAAGCCCTCTTGCGCAAGAGGCCAGTGTAGATAGCCAATGTTACTTTTCTTGCGCAAGATAGCCCGATGACTAAAATGGCGACTGGAGCTTTCTTGCGCAAGGTAGCATCTACACTGACATGGATGCTTTTGCGCAAAAGCACATCTTTTGCGCAAAAGCACATGCCAGTGTAAGTGTTCTCTTGTGCAAATACTTTTAATGGAAAAACTCTTCCGTTAAAAGTATTTGCGCAAAATCATGCTAGTGTAGACATGGCCACTGTCTTCACAACCTCCTTTGGCAAGGAATTCCACAGGCTGACCAGGCACTGTGTGAACAAAAACATCTTTTTGTTTTTTTTAAACTTGCAACCTATTAATTTAAATTAGCGGCCCCTAGTTTTTATGTTATGGGAACAAGTAAATGACATTTCCTTATTCACTTTTTTCACTCCAGTCATGTTTTTATAGACCTCTATCATATCCCTCTTAGTCTCCACTTTTCTAAACTGAAACGTCTAAAGTCTTTTTAATCTCTCTTCATATGCGACCCGTTCCAAACTCCTAATAATTTTTATTGCCCTTTTCTGAACCTTTTCCAATACCAATATATCCTTTTTGAGATGAGGCAACCACATCTGTATGCAGTTTTCAGGATGTGGGCATACCATGGTTTTATATAGAGGTAATAAGTTATTCTCTGTCTTATTCTCTATCCCTTTTTAAATGATTCCTAACATTGTTTGCTTTTTTGACTGCCACTGCACATTGAGTGGATGTTTTCAGGGAACTATCCACAGTGACTCCAAGATCTCTCTCGAGTAGTGATAGCTAAATTAGTCCCCATCATATTGTATGTGTAGTTGGGATTATTTTTTCCAACATGCATTACTTTACATTTATCAATATTAAATTCCATTTATTATTTTGTTGTCCAATCACTTAGATTTGTGAGATCTTTTTGAAGCTTTTCACAGTCTTTGTTCTAAACTATCTTGAGCAGTTTGGTATCATCTGCAAATTTTGTCACCTTAATGTTTGCACCTTTCTCCAGATCATTTATAAATAAGTTGAACAGGATTGGTCCCAGTACAAACCCTTGCAGGGGACACCACTTGTTACCTCACCATTCTGAACATTTACCATTTATTCCTACTCTGTGTTTCCTGTCTTTTAACTAATATCAATCCATGAAAGGACCATCCCTGTTATCCCATGACTATAGCGAACTAGCCACACTCAACTGGCCAGATTGCTACATGTGGCTATTAGCTAACATGTTGGACACCACAGTGTCTAGCGAGTACTTTTGCCAACCATCAATTCCTGAATATGACTTGTAAGCTGGAGTTAGGAATTAAAAAGGCAAAGCAACAGACATATGTTGTCTATGATCTTTGAAACATGTAAAAACAACCTCCCACCCCCTAAAATAATGGTTAATGTTTTGGTTTAATTCTTCACACATTCTAAACTAAAACAAATAGCCAATCATTATCATCACAAAGCAACTCTAATATCTCAAACATCACAAAGCATTTCATTGCCTCTGTTGCCCATGTGAGACCATGGCAACAGCTGGTTCCTTCTGTCAGTCAACAATTAGCTGAGTACCCTTTGTGTCCAAAAGAAAGTATTAACACAACAGGATGTAAAATGTAAGGTTACATGATAAATAAAATACCCCCACGAAGTTCAAGTAGAAAAACTGAACTGTTAAGTGGCTAAAGAGACTGGGTGGCAAGGGACTTGTGTTCTCTTTCTGCGAGAGCTTGCGTAGTTCACATAGAACTCATCCTCTGAGCCGTAGCAAGCCCCTTATCTTACAACCTCTCCATCCTCTTCAGGAGGAACACTGATGGGCTCCTAAGGGAGCCTTATCCAATCTAGCTCAGGCAGAAGGAGGATTTTTTTTCCTAAGGGCCTTGAGAATAGTGAGTCATAATAAACCAGAGGATAACAGGGGGAACCTGGGTCATTTGACAGTGATATGGAGAAAATCCTCTCAAAGAGAGGAAAAACCCAGTATAATACTGTGTGTCTCAAATCCTATTGAATAAACAACAAGTAATTTAACATAATCCTATATAAGTGGCATGAGGATAATTGGAAATTAAGCTGCATATATACCGTTGTTTTGTGTATCTTCTTTTCTAATGTTTTCCATTTAAGGGACATAGTAATTGTCAGGCTGGGCCAGAGAGCTATATAATACAGCATTCTGCCTTTGGCCAGGACATGATGGCTATGTCTAGACTGCATCCCTCTGTCAACAGAGGGATGCAAATCAAACATGTCGAAATTGCTAATGAAGCAGGGATTTAAATATCTCACGCTTCATTAGCATAAACATGGCCACCATTTTTTTAAACGGAGTTTTTTTTCGAAAAAACCGTCAGTCTAGACACGGATCTGTTGAAAATAAACCCTTTTTCGACAGATCCTGTAAACCTCATTTTTTGAGGAATACAGAATCTGTCGAAAAAGGGTTTATTTTCAACAGATCCGTGTCTAGACTGACGGTTTTTTCGAAAAAAAACTCCGTTTAAAAAAATGGTGGCCATGTTTATGCTAATGAAGCGTGAGATATTTAAATCCCTGCTTCATTAGCAATTTCGATGTGCCAAATCTACATCTCTCTGTCAACAGAAAGGTGTAGTCTAGACACACCCAATGTCTCAGAGGGAGATGTAAGAATTAACAGTAGACAGATGTGGGACAATCTGTGCCCACAGTAGGTCTCATCCCCGTCTTCAGTGACAGTGAAACTTGTTGCATGGACCCTGAGGGTATGCATTAACAGTTTACTAGTGCACTTTGAGCTAGTCCTCTTTGAAATGGAAGCAGACAAATATGGGTTAGTCACACCCCAGCTTGCCGCAAACTAATTGTTCATGTAGACAAGATCTTAGTAGCTTAAGTTTTGACGAAAGAGATCTAATTTTTCCACACCATTTTTGTGATAAATAATTATGACCAGAGGGTGGCACACTTTGTTGCTTTTATAGGCAGCTCTCTACACCCAGTAAGAGAGAGCAGAATATCTGCTGCTTTTGTTATGGGTGTGTGACAGGAGAGAGATTTCCCTCTTTCCCACATTTTATTAAGGGAGAGGTAGCAAGAAACTGGACTGGGGACAAGGAATGGTGATAATACAAGGGCTACAGACAGCCCCCATACCCTGCACTGCTTGGTCCTTTATGTTCCAATAATTAGTAAATCTGCCTGCCATTTCCTTTGCACATGACCAAGAGGTACCTCCACCCTCCAGCTCCTGGCTGGAAATCATTTCTTCTTCCCTCCACATGGTGGATGAGCTGGTAAACCTAGGGTTTGTTATAATCAGTCCCTGCTCCATTACACCCTCCATTTCTCACCCTATTCTTGGTTTCTCCTTCCCATCAGTATTCCCCTCAAGTTCCTGCTTTCTACCTTCATGCACCCTCTCCTCTCTGGGTTCCTGTTATCTATGTACACATTGCTCCTCCACCGCCACACCTGCCCACCAAAGGCTTCTGCTTACTCACCCTAGATCCCTACCACTCCCTGTCCTGGGCTCCTGCTTTCTCCCCTCCTCTCCTACAACTTCCATTTGGCCCACAAGGTTCCTGCTTCCTCCATCCATATCATTTCTCCCCGTCTCTGCTCTGGTTCCCTGTTTCACTGTCTCTATTTGGCCTGCATTCTTGTAGTCTCTGCTGCCTTCCCTTATCCCACACAGCCACATCAATTCTTCCCTCCCCATGTCCTCATTTTTTCTCTTGCCACTGTGTTCTCCCCACTTTCTAGGTCCTTGCCACTTTCCCTAAAAATCCTCCTACGGCTCCCTTACTTCTCTTAGACTACAGCCCACATACAACCTCCCTACATAGTGAATTAAGATGCTGTAGCAGTATGTGTAGGCAGTTGCAGGAGGAGGCAGGGAGGTGGGTGGGGAGGAGAGATTCCTCTGCCTGCAGCACCAAGCAATCCGTATCCTGACTTCCTGAGAATCAGACTTTTTTGGTGCATCAATTATCATGGAAACAAATAGAGTTCTGCCTACAGATGACTAGAGTGCTCCCTGACATTCTGTGATTGATTGGGTGTGGTATCCCCAAGTTATTGTGCTACTTACAAACAGACAGAAATATCCCAAAGTGGAGTGTCAATAACTCTGGGGCTACG